GAGTATTTCTTGAAAACGATCATATACTGAGAATACTCAATCATTTATTGTTGTCATGTTATTCCGTAAGATACAGTAAGAGAAATGAAAACGGAATATTTCTTTGAAGTGGAATATATGTTAATCTTTGATTATTTATATTCGAGGGAAATAACATAAATCGATTGATGATTTTTATTTCTATTGGGTTTACTAGTTCTCGGACCTGATCTCATGTTCAGAGTACTGAATGAGCGTCAATGTTTGATTAGTTAATATCACATATAACGAATCTATCAATACTGATAAGTTGGTTTTGTCTGTTGTAGAAAATTTCGTTTCTTATTGTTGTCCTTGCATATCTGATCAGCTGATCGTGACTGTTAAAGAATATGCAGAAAGAAAGTAGTTATTCTATGAAATTACAGGCTATTGAGTTTAGACTTATTTTAATCTTTTGCAGCACACAAATTCTCCGCAGGTATGGAATGTCGACTCGTAATGTATCAATCGTTGGACACGAATCTAACAAATAGCGATTTGCTGGAAAAGATTAAGCAGCATTTGAGATATGTTCGGGTCAGACGCGTGGCATCAAAAAATGGGAAGTCAACTTTTTACTTACTCTTCCAACAGGAAATCAATACTTATAAAGCACTACTTGTCTCGAAAAAAATGAAAAATATTTCATTTGCGTAATATCGACATCAGAATCCAGCTTTGCCGCTGTGGCACATGTCGATGAATTTCCTTCTGAAGATTTACCATTTCATCCTGAAAAAATATCGAATATTGCAAGATATGCATTTTCAATATATTTCAATGAATTCGCTTCTTGGATACTTCATCTTCAATTTTTCTTATATGTGCTCTAAAGGTTTTCTTATAATATAGGATCTGTTTAAGCTTTTTATTCGGCGGCTCTCGAATTAAATACATGCACAACGTTTCAGAATGGAGCAAGGTATATTTGTGCTAAGGTTCAATAGTTAGTAATAATTATTCTTATACTTTACTTCTAGTGCGAGAACAAGCCTGAAGAGCTGACAGATAGTGATGGATGAATGAAAAATTTCTGGTTTCTGGCGTGCATGATGTATCAAAACAAATCAACGTCTTTTTACTTTTTAATTGTGCATATTATCAGTGAGCCGCTATGCTAAATCATATTAAATAATTTTTTGAAAGTAGTTGTTGATTTTTTTGCATTTTATTCCTTACCCAAAAGTGTTTATGCTGTTAAACAAGAATCGGCGAGGAAACGATGCTGTTGAATTCTTGGAAGAAATTCTCGGAAAGGGTATAAGAATGAAAGTATATATAATATTGTACCATTTGTCTATATTAGTGTTTGGACCCGTTCCTTTTATTGCACTTTCATTTAAAGTATTAGATTGGTGTTACCTTAGTATTCAGGTATTGATTCTCAGATCACTTTTTGTTTTCATAAATAACATGTTTTAAACTTTCCATTTTTAAATTATCGATGTTTGAGATATTCTCACTAAATCTATTTAAGTAAAGATTTCATTTATCTTTTGTTGTAGATTGCAAACTCTGAATCCATCATGATGTCAATCTCTGCAATTATTTTACCACTATTTCTACAAGTAAAAGTTGTACCGATACTGGGTGCCTTTTTTGTACCGTTCGTTTAAAGCGTTACCATACCAAATCCTGTATTGAACTCTCAGAAACAAGCCCAAAAATTAAGCTCTGAAAAGGTTTCTGCTTCCGTTGCAAGTATCAATGGAAATCCTATTAATCAACAAAAGAGTATCTTTGAATCATTTAATATTGAAAAGGTACGTGTTGGATGGCTATGGGTGTGATTGTGGGTGTGGATGTGATTGTGTGAGTGTGGGTGTACGTGTGGGTGTGGTGTGGGTGGAAGTGGGGTAGGGGTGGGTGTGGGTGTGGACGTTGGTTAAGATTTTCTCTATATATCAACCGACATCCACATTTACACCCAAGTCACATACACGTCAACATCCCACACCCACACTTACACCCAAACCACATCCACACCAACATTCCACATTAGAGATGGAACCGATACAGGTAACCGGCCGGTTCGGTCTGGTACCAATCTGGATTGACCGGTCTACCGGTCGAAACCGCCTAATACTAGTCTAAATTTTTCACTTTTCTGCTTTTTGATGGTATTCACATGAAAAAACAACTGAAACCAAGACTAGTTCCACTGATCACACACGAATTTATTTAACAAATAGTTTTCAGAATGCCCATCAGTGAGATTATGGTTATCAACGGTGAAGCATTATGCCATTATCCGTGAAGGTACGAAGGTAGCCCGCACGAGAGTTCACCGTGAAACAAGGTTTCATTTCAAGCCTCAGCATGTTGTCTGTAGACCGATATTTTGACGGTGAGTCGAATTTTCTTTGATAAACTGACGTATCATCAGCATCCTGTTTAGTACCGGTTCCATCTCTGCTCCGCACCCAAACCCACACCCTTCTTTGCATATCAGCTCAGTGTGGTCCACCTTGCACGCATTCGTATCCGGCTCATGGGCCATCTTCCTGCTCGCACACGTTCGAGCGCAAAAGAGAGCTGAGAAAAGTCCAAGGCACTGAATAGCAATTAGAAAGAGTTTATTGAACAAGTCAGAGATAAAGTGTATTAAAAGTTTCTTTACACCTCAAGAGATGAGGATAAGTTGAAAATAATTGCTGTTAAGTAATATCTATACCGCTTGTTGACAAATGTCATTGCAATATTATATTGTCGAGTAACAAAAATATAATAGATCACTACTCAATTCGAAAGACTTTTTGGTGCCTTCTTTTCATATATTTCTAGTCCCTCTCGAAAATATGTCAATGTCATTGAATAATCTTCCAGTTCACGATAAGTTTCACCTAAAGTCCTATAGGATGTGGATGTGAATGTGAATGTTCTTCTCATCACACTCACACCCTGATTTTTTATCAATAAGTTACACATAGCAGCGTTTTTTGTTTTGCCACTGTATGCTGCCTAGAGAGTATGCGAAACTATACTCGCATCCATAGGAATGACTGAGCTTTTGCATCTTGCCGTAACATCAAACGCGACGGTATACGAAAAAATCCATCATCTGTCGTTATTTTTTCTTCTCATTTTTACGTGGAAGAGAAATTATTTCGTGCGTATTGTGCACTGTCATTAGTCAAATAGCTGCAAATATAATTGATTTGCATTGGTCTATTCTTGATTATGTGCACACATAGAATTTAATAAAGTAGAAAGAATTCGAAGCTCTTGAAGTAATCAATTACGTAGTCGTTTGATGTGCTTCGAACAAGATTAAAAATTACTGCACATATAGCACTCATACAAATGTCGGATAGATATGCAAATTTGAATTGAAAAGCAATATAATTCTCTCCATCTTATTCGATTCGATAGACATTTGCTAGCTGCCACTAGCTCATATTTTGAAATGCCTGTCAAAAGAAATCAACAGTTCAGTGACTGGTCAGCACCTGTTTCTCTCTCATCCGAGAAATCATTTATTAATCGATGTGAGAAAACAGATCAATCAAGACAAAGATATCGGTAACAAAACAAAATTTGTTTTGCTGTTGAGTCAAAAGATGATAGAAAATTTTTCTTCGATTTCTTTCTTGAAAATGAATTCGCTAGCATTCATCATCAGTATAGTTGCACTAATATTTTGTTTTGCTTAGTGAAAGAGTTCACCATTATTCACCATGGTGTTGTTCATCATGCTGTCTGTGGTTTATTATCGGCATTTTACTGGGTGCAGTTGTTTTAGCTACAATACTTGCACTCTGGATTACATCCAATTCTGATAAAATTAATGCTACAGACGGAAGTGCATCAATTATTGTATCAACATTAAGTAAGTTTCAATCTTTAAATTTGACATAATATTTAATTAAACAAAATGCTAAATATCAGAGCTGTTGTCTTCAGTCACCAAATTGTTAGAAAGTTATTTTTGCTCTGGAAAAAGGGATCTGATAAAAATTTTCAGGAGACCTTCATATATGCTCTGAGAACTGCTTAGTAAAGATTTCAGGTGAAATTATTGAGTTAGCTGTGAGTTATCCGACTACCAAGGTTACAAAAGAAGGAGTTCTTGTTACAGAAATTTATCACTTTCATTGAATGGCATACATTTTATGTTGATATAGCAATGTATCTAAGACGTACCACTACAAATTAACGTAGTTCCATATTTTTAAAATTTTTTTCAGACTTCTAGTATTTTTTTCGGAACACAGCAGTTCTGCGCGCAACGTTTTCGCACTGACACTCCTGCGCAAAATAATCCATATGCACTTTCCCTCACAATCCGTAAACCATTCTTTATAAAAACTGCAAAAGCTATTAGTTTTGCATAAAAAAAACAAAAATTTCAACTGCTCGAAAGTGTTGATGAACCGATTTTTTCTGAAAGACAAATCCGAAAAATTAGAGCTACCACTATGGGAAAAACTCATATTGGATAATCAGTAAATGAAACATGAAATATATTCGGCTCTATGAAGTTGTAGAACCCATTGTGCAGGTGAAACTAGATTTGATTGACATTTAAGTTCCGGAATTTCGAACAAATGTTCACTTATCAATCGGTATTTGTTCTTATTTCTCTTGATATTTTTGTTTTAGCGACGATATCAACAACAAGTTCCACTTCAGGTATTTCACCACACGTAATCAGCGTCAAGAATGATCTTTACCATGACACGGCAGTTCTGCGCGCGACACTTTCCCGCCGACAATCCCGCACCAAAGGATTTTTTTTCTATGTTTATGTGATGTATTAGTGCCAGTGTGAGTTTGAGTACCAATGTGAATGCAATGGAGGACTCACAGGTGCTTCTTCTCACATCCATTCTACACGCCCTTCGAACTGTGCTTCATGAAGTTTGGAAAAGCTATTCATTCTTCATGAAACAAAACAAAAAAATCATTTGCATAAAAGTATTTGGTGTGGAAAAGTCGCGCGCGGAACTGTCGGTGAATGAGTCTTCACTTCTTTTCATTCAGTTACGACGACAACCACTACCACGGCCACTACCACCACAACCAAGACCACTACGACTACCACCATGACCACTGCAACCACTACGACCACCACAGTCACTACCACGATCACCACTACAACCACTACCACGATCACTACCACGGCCACGACCACAACCACCAGCGCAACTACGACCACTTCGGCCACTAGTACCACCACGACAACGACAACCACCACAACGTCCTTCAATTCATGTCTGCTATTTTATAATTTAATATTTAGAGTTCAATGTATAAAGTATTATTTTAGGTACGAATCTTCGTTGGAATCAAACAGGTGAACGTGTCGCGGGAATTGGTACTTATGGAAAGAACACTAACCAGTTCAATGCTCCAGCTGGTTTGTATATTGACGCTAATGACACTCTATTCATTTCGGATAGTAACAATAATCGCGTGCAAAATTGGACTTTGGGTATGACAAATGGTGCAACAGTAGCTGGAGATAGTAGCGGCTCATCAGGTTCGACTTCGACTTTGCTAAACAATCCTGTAGGTTTAACTTTTGACAAAAACGGATTCATGTATGTAGTCGATAATCAAAATAATCGAATTCAGCGTTTTCCTCACAATTCTCTAACTGGTACAACCGTTGCTGGACAAGCGGGTACGAGCTCATCAGCACTAAACTCGCTCAGAAGGCCATTTGGAGTAGATGTTGACGATGATTCGAATGTTTACGTCGCTGATAGTGACAATGATCGATGGGCATATTCATCAAGTCAATCTTTTTTGAAATTCGTTTAATGATAAAGTAGCAATTATTTGCAACTCGAGACATACTTTATGATTAGATTGCAGTAGTGAAATGGACTCCGAATGCAGCAATTGGCATTCTTCTTATTAGTAGCAACATCATTGGCAGACTTTACGGAATTCTTCTTGCGCCTAATTCAACGAATCAGGTTTATTTAAGTGATGAATCTCGTAATAGTGTTTATCTGTGGACATTTAACGCATCAACCCCAGACTTAACTTTAACTCAAGTCAATGGTAGTATAGGTACTCTTGGCATGCCTAGAGGTATTATTTATGATCTGTATAATAATTTGTACGTTGCTGATGCTGGTCGTTCTCTCATTGTAAGATATTGTGTCAACTCAACAATTGGTAGCACTGTTGTTGGAGGTAGTGGTAGCACACCTGTGCTCAACAAACCATCAGCTATAGCCTTTGATTCGAATTATAATTTGTATGTAGTTGATGAGAACAATCATCAAGTTGTCAAATATGCTCGACTATAAACTGGAATTTGTTTTTCCTCGCTTGGGTCGTTATAGCATCAGAACAAATTTTAAACATTTTGACATATTTTACACTTTATTTCACATTATTTTCATAGTCGAAATAGAAATTTATCACGTTGGTGTGGGTGTGTTATTCTTCACAATAGCAAGTACCTAGGCTCCATCCACCCTTTCGCCTCATGTTACCATTAGACGGGAAAAAATTCAATTTTACCAACAATGAAACAGAATCTAAAAAACGAGATAGATACTTTTGTAGCTCATAGTCTGGCGATTCTAATGAGATAAGACACTTGTTTTTATCTCTTGTTAAAGAAACTAGATAGGTTTACAAGAAAGTTCACGAATAATACTTTGAGTTGCATGAATCTATTCATATCGAACAAAATTTTTTTTAAATCTAATAGCTTTACGTCTTATAAAATAACAGCTTTTTACTCAGTTTTTCATGTTGATTCAGAATATAATATTTTTAAAAAGTTTGTAAAATAAATGTAATTGGAAATTAACTATTTCTGTAGAAAAAGCGAATTCTTAGGTACAAATACTATATTTTAGTCATTTGATGTGTTTAAGAATTTTTCCAGGCGAATAATGATCGAATCAAAATAAAAAGTATAGATTGGTGACCAGCTTTTCAAACTCTATCAAACCATATATACACGATCGAGAAAAAAAAATTCAGTGAAACGTTTTGAATTTACACCACCTTGAAAATATAAAATAGTATTAGTAATACTATAAGTATTGATCAAATTGATTATTAATATTTGTTAAACATTTTATTTTGAATTTTTTATTGTGTTTGTTACTTCAATATGTTTTGATAACGATGAAAGTAATAGATATTCAGTTGAAAGATATTTTCTTGCAATAGTGAATGCTAATTCAAAGCTTTTTAAAGCTATTTCAAAATGTTCGACATCTCAAAATATCTTTCCAATAACTTGAATACCATCTATAACTGTAATATAATGGGATGATAAATCGATAATTGTGTTTTCAATCATTAAAATGTATGTATAAATCGATAACTTTTTCATAATAATATGAAAATGTGTTACTATCAGGAGGTAGATATTCGGAAGCCATTACTAAATCTTTTCGAAGCATTTTTAATGTTGAAATATAATGAATAAGACTTTAATACACTAAATTTAGTCGTTGACATAATTGAATAAATATATTTTTTTCTGCAAGAGTCATAGGTTGATTTTCTGAAGGAAGAGATAAGCCTTCATGATAATTACGTAAAGCATCATCATAATTGTTTTGACTTTGATAACATTTACCTAAGTTTAAATAAACAAAAGTAATATTTCGACGTTTGTAATTTTTCATTCTAAAATGGCATGATGCGATCTTATTATAGGTTAAGCCGAGTTTAGAATCATCTAGCATGTTCGATTTTGACACAATCTCAATGATTTCATGTAAAATTTCAAGGAGCAAAAGCTGATTGCGACCAAAGCAATCATTGACAGTCATTGGCAATCAGTGACAATTAAAACAATCAGCTTTTTTTTTCCTTTAGCATAACCATATAACGATATTCTGAGAAAGTCAAAGGTTAACGAGACAATAACATCTCAGTATCTGTTGATTTTTAATTACACTTTTGAACACAGTAGCTCCACAGTTTTCTTCAATTTTCAGTTCAATCTGATTAAGCTATCATCGATTGTAATCAGAAGAGTGACAAGATTAATAGGGGGTGATCAATTTGTACTCGACTTTTTATTCGAGCTTGAAAAAGTTGCTCCTTTTTCTTCATCCATGTTATATAATTTTTGAATGTGAAAAAACAGTGGGAAGAATGTCTTTAAGACACTTTGGATCTGGTGTGAAAAACACCGACTGAGTCAGGTATGACTATAAATAGAATAATTACCAATCGAATCATATCTTTCTCAAAGGCAATATTGTGAATATATTGGTTTGAAAAAATATTTTATGTTCTGCTAAATCGGTTAATGTTGCTCGGAGAGACGACTATTGGCATCATTTTTTCAATAGGTGACTATTGAGCGGTCATTTTGTCTCATGTAAAATATTTCTCAGAAATCAAATTGAAAGACAACAAGATTCTAAGAGAAAAATAAACACTCGTTTAACATTTGGTGATATTAGTCGATTTGAACTTTTTTCGACAAATATTGGCTCATTTTTGAAGAAAAAAAGGAAGACAATATTTTCTTTTCTTTATTCTTCATTATAAATCGACAATAGAGTCTTAAAAGTTTATAGCAGATAATTGCATGATTATCGATTTAAAGCTCCTATGTTTTCAAAATATTATCCCATAAAATGATTGTTTAAATATATAAATATGATATGAAAAGCAAAGTTTTTTTCTCACTTAATTTTATGTTAAGCCTATTGATATTTTCAAAATTTTCATTGTTAAGATCTTAAAAACATAAGAAGACCTAATTCAGTGAAACAAACCATAAAACAAAAGTAGCACTAATCAATATAGAGAGTGATTCAGATAAGTATACTGTTATTGGTTGACTTTTCGGTGCCATATATAAAATAGCATGTGTATCAAAAGTAGCAGGTCAGGTGTTCTGTGCGTATAGATAACGTTTGGTGCATCTGCCATTAGACAAAGTGCATGAATATTTCATTATGTTATGCTTTGCGTGTATGGTGACATCTTTTGATTTTTGGACGGTTACATGCTGTTTAAGTTTGCCAATTTTGCAGTTTTTGTTTTTATCGACGGCATATAATCTCGATAACTGTAAAAAATATGTAGATATTTCACGAATACCGATAGATATTTTGAAGTAATTTTCTCTATTGGTTGGTTTTAGGTACTGCATGCGTGGTCGTCCATATTAGGATTGACTGCGACATGTCTCATAGTCAAGCAAGCCTTGAGATTTAAAATCAGTTAATGACAATCTATGGTATTTTCTATAGAAAAAAATCCTATACTCTAATACTCAGGAGTTCTGAGCTCGACATAAAGCCATAATATTCAATAAAAAGTATTGCATATCAGCTAGATTGATTTTTTTTCGCTTTAATGACTCATAAAAACGAAGTGATAATCATTGGGTGACGACACATGTGATTTTATCACGTTCTACTTGACAGAATAATCTAACTATCGTTGTATTCAATTGACAATTTTCTCTATATTGCATATAGGTATAAATAAACGTAGACACAAAAGAGTATCGTCATTAGCATCTTGCATTAAATGAAAGACACCAATCATGATTTGTACATCATGCGGTATGGAAATTTCAGAATCATCAAGATTTTACAAATGTCGTCAATGTGTGAGCCATTTTGTCTGCAAGACATGCACGAAGAAGGAGCACAATCGTGCAAGCAGTGATCATCATACGTTAGACAAGGTAAACACGAGACTGCGCTTGAATGAGTTTAATCAAAACAGTTTATGTAATTGTCCTTTATAGATAGGTACTAAAACAAAGTCGATGGTACCAGTACAGTCATCGCTGGAGATGGAGGAAAAATCCGTAGAAATTAAAGCCGATTTACAGGTAAAACTAGAATGACGCATATTTTAAATGAAACCATGAACATTTTCAATCCAAATCGATTTCTATTTAGTATTTTTTTCACTAAACTTGACTTCATTTTTCGTTTAATTTTACATTAGAATATTTGAAGTGACAGGCATGTAACTTTTCTCTTTCTTAAGGCACGTCCCACGTCGATCTTTGCAACTAGAGAATATTTAACAATGTTTTTGGGCTATTGTGATCATTGTTTAAACGTGCTTGCATGTGGAAAAGACGTAATCTTTAACTGTGATCAATGTCCAAATAATTTCTGTGTTTGCAATAAATGCATCTCACTCATGCCACATGAACATCCGTCAATGCATACATTTTCAAAAGATACGTCGCACAGCGAACTTTTACAGCGTGCCCATAACTTGGAACATTTAGGCATTACTTGTAACAATTGTCAACAAGAAAACTTCGATGGGATACGACATCACTGTGAACAATGTGAATCTAGTTATGATTTATGTGAAAAATGCATTAACACAATACACAAACATCACATGTTTAAAATTATCTCAAATCCTTTTCTACGTGCTCATAATAATAGTATGCTTGCCAAAAGAACTCTGGACGCAATAGCAAAAAATATTGATGCTCAGAACATCACATGGCGCGATCCAATTACTGGATGGACAAAGATTGATGCTGAAAATATGATAAAACAATCTCAAAAAGAACAAGAAGATTATAATACGCAATTACAAAACATTTCAGAACGTAAACTAGCCGCTGCAAAGAGAGAACAGGAAATTCAGCGAGAATTGCACAGGATGCGCATGGATAGCCTAAACTTCCAGCTTTCACTTGTGAGCGACAATGTTCTATATCTTCCGCGGCAGTACTAAAGAAAAATATCAAGCTATTTTGTCACGTTTCTTCTTCTGGTCGGTAATTTACGCAAAAGATAATTTTCTTTCAAATATTTATAATCCAGAATTTCTAAGACTAACATAATAAATTGGATGAAAAACTACTAACCTTTCTAATATGATATATAAAAAAGCAAATACATCTAATCAAGTTTTTCTTCATGTTTATTGAACTCAATAAAGCAGAAAGAATACATCTGGTATAGTTTTGATCAACGTTGTTTCACAAAATATTCTTTGAAAACTATATGAGATTTTTTTAATAATAATTCAGTTTTTACAATACAATAGCATGTTTTTTATTCTGAGTGACGTACTAAAACGAAGTACTATGTCATGAACATCGTCTTCAAGTTTACTTGATTCAATACAAATAGTTGTAACTTTCAGTAATATACGTTCAACTTCATTTTGCATATATGTCTATCTTGTTTCTTTAGTTCCAAAATTAGAATGATGAATAATTGAATGAGCAAATAAACGATAATCAGCTGTATCATCTTGTTTATTATTTGAATGCTTAATTTGCCTACATTAATATTTACTTTAGGATTTGATGTTGAAATAAATTCTAAATCAAATGAACGTAAACTAGAACTAGTTAAAAAAAAATGAAAATTCGAAAAACAAAAACAAAAGCAAAATTTTCCTTTTCTTTCTCACATCTGATCGTTGCCCATGTGTATAATAAACTAGCAATTCACTTGAGTAAAATAAAATATAACTCGATGGATATATTTTGCAATGCAACAAACTCCTCTATAAAATATTAGGAATTATTTTTAATAATGATTTCTGTTTTTTATAGACAAACATACTTTTGGTCTTACATCTCTGTAATATATATAATTAATAAAAGTTATTAAGTAGTTTTGAAAATAACATATTTATCTTTCTTTTTACTTTCATACGGTATTTTCGAAGAACATAAAGTACCGAAACAACAATACTACTTAATTCACTTAAGTTACGTGATAATACTTATTTATCAGTTGATTTCTAGATACATTAGAAAATTTAGTATATTATTATTCTATAAACTAGTACAGAAACATCTTCATCAAATTAAAAAGGATAGTTTGTAAATTGATAGTCTTATTGAAATTGATCTTTTTACAGATACATAAAGTTTTCATAGGAATGCATGGACATTGTGAAAAAAAAGTTAATTTCATGAAAAAAGTCCTTTCTTGATTATATCATATTGAAATAATCTGAATGAAAATAATACCTATGTAGAAGACCAAAAATATTCATTTCTGATAACATGAATTTCTCAAAACAAATACAAAAAACAATTAAATTAAAAAAGAAATTTTCTTGACTTAATTCATGTCTATACATATGAATAGCACGTAAAAATTTTAATGATGCTCTATTTCATAATAGTGGTTGTTGAAATGCAATTAATATTTGTCGTGATTTTATTAGAACGTTTGAATCATTTGTGTGTTTTAACAAAGTCAATTCATCCGTTAATTCTGAATCGAGTTGAAATAATAAATCAATTAACATAATAACAAGAGTATTATTAGAACTACAATTTGCATATGATAAAAAATTTTGAACAATTTTAGACATATCAGTTTCATACCTATCATGTAATTGTGTTACACATTTATCATATTGTATATATTAAGGCAAAATGTTACTAATTGTATAAGACTATACAGTGGTAAAAAATTAATCTCTATCAGCATAATTATCAATAAATGATGCAATTGATTATGATGAACATTGTATTGTTACAGATGTTCCATTACTTAAATAATTTTTCATTAACATTTTTTTTTCTAGTAACTTAACCATCAGAATAAAATACAATATAATATGCTTCAAAATAATGTGGTACCTTTGTAACTTCATCATATCTTTTATACATCGAAGAAAATAACTGTTGATAATTCCACATAAAAATTCTTACTTAAAAAAAATTACTTGTTCAAATAACAACTTGATTTATATTATTTCGATAATTTCGACTCTTACAAATATTTTCATTATGAATATAATGTCTTTAAAATTTGAAAAATTAATAACGAAATGTTAAAATGACTTTATAAATTTAGAGATCATAAGAGTAGATAAATACTTGTCTAAGCTAAATGTTTAGATTTTGCATTTCTTAGTAATCAAATTTGACAAAGAATCTTAATTTATCAAGAGTAATTTATAACATTACATATTTTGTTTACTATAATAAAATATTATATAACATATTAAAGTTCTATAAGTTCATATACAATAGAAGAAAATGACTTCTTCTTTATAATCAATGAATTTATACAGAAAAGTTAAATAAACTGTTTAAGTTTGATAGACTTCTTTCACATCATTAGCAATATTAATCGATTAATTCGTATTATTTACATACCATTAGAATATTTACAGTGTCGATCTTTATGATACGCTTGTTTTTATTTTGTCTCAAGAGAAAAAATATTCAAATAAAATATGAGAAAAGAAAAATGAATCCTTTTTTTTCTTTTAAATCTTCATTTTTGTATCAATAAAATAGACAAAGATGATTTTTGTTTTTTATATATAAATTATTATATGATTAACTTCTTCTCAAATTAATATGTTTGTTATTTTCTATTGAAAAATATTGTAAGCTTTTATTATTTAATTAAATATTTTCTTTTTACAGAAAAAAAAAGATATCATTATTAAATAGCATTCCTATAGACATTGAACAGGAAATTATTTTTATAAGGAAATTACAATTGGATTTTCTATGAAAGCATCATTATTTCCTTCATTCTTTTGTATTGCATACTAACATCATCATCATTTTTATCAATACTCATAAAATAATGAACCAAACTCCCTGTGTCTATATTGAAGACAAACAAATTTTCATATTCATAAAAACGCATGAAGAAGACTTCCACACACGTGAATAGTAGTGTAATTAGAATCATATAGAATATAAACGAAACAAAAATGAGCTTCATATTTTATGAATGCATGCATGCATGCATCCATGTATGTGTCTATGGCCGGAATCTCGATCTGTTGAACACATAGCGCAAATGTATACAATGTGTGCATACGTTTAGTTTTCAATGACAAATTACAAAAGATTGTAGGTAGCCCTGGGCCGATTTTCAATACTGACAATGACCTTTGATTATAGACATTTTTTTTCTATTAATTATTACCTCAAAAATCAAAAAAAGAGAATTAAATCCTAAAGAAGTTCGTATTAGACATACAATTTTGTATTTCTATGATTCTCTTGTCTCTTTTTGTTATAGCCAACCATTTCCTTTCTATCTTCGTTCTTGTCTTCTGTCATGATGAATCGAGAGAAAGAAAAAATGAAGGAAAGGGAAATAAATAGATAGCACACCCATCATATACACATACGAGCATCAAAATGATCCACAATCGGAAGTGACACACTTAAAAAAAATACTTTTTTTTATATATATATTAAAGATAGTCTCCCTCTCAGTCTATCTCTTTCGTTATTACGATTGTTGCTTTTTTTCCTATTATTTATTCAATATCAATTCTATTGAGTGTAACGGTGTGATAAAGAAAAAATAAAAGAATCTTTTATTGGAATAATTATGGCTGATGTTGTTCATCGTATTAGCGAATTAACACATACACGTCTCTCATGGTTTGGTTGTTCAGATGATGATGCATGTAATCGTCTAAATCATCGTCATACTGTTTTAATGTTATTAATCTTTTCGGCGATACTTACGTCACGTTTATTTATTTCGGATTTAATTATTTGTTGGACACCCGGTGAATTTACAGGTAAATAAAATCATTATTTAATTATAGTTAGATTAAATGCGAAAAATCACATTTTTTATTATTGAATCATTGATTGACAGTTCCATTGAATTGAATTCAAATGTTGTTGCGGTCTATACGTCTGAAAGGACAAACAAAAGTATCTATTTAGACATTAAACAATAGCGTATGACAGGTTTGACACATAGATCATTGATAGCACATCTATTTATCTGTCATGCTGAAAATTGCTTAGGGAATACAATGAACTTTCAATGAGGTAAATTGATTTTCTTTCAGGAAATTTTGTTTCATATACTCGTCATTATTGTTATGTAACAAATACATATTATATATCAATGAATGAAACAATTCCAACATTAAATAATTCTCATATGCGTCGAAAACGTTCAATTTATTATTATCAATGGTTACCAATATTACTTGCATTTCAATCATTATTATTTTTAATACCACGTTTAATATGGAGTAGTTTTAGTCCACGTTGTGGAATTAATTTACAACATTGTTTATCACCACAATATGATTATCGAACAAGTCGTTATAAAATTCATAATATAACAACCATGCTTAATTTATTAGCACGTGCTAAACAACATGATTTTAATCGTATATCAACAAATGATAATATAAATAAAAATGGTCTTACATCAAATATACAATTTTTAAAAACATTTTGTATTCCATTTTTATTTTTAAATGAAAATCCATTTCATGGATATTATTTAGTAAATTTATTTCTTATTGTTAAAATACTTTTTTTACTTAATTCATCATTACAATTATTTTTTTTAAATACATTATTAACAAAAAATTCCATATTCTATGGATATGAAGTTATTGAAAATTTTCGTCGAGGTGAATATATTGTTGGTTCAAAAATATTTCCATTAAATGTTTATTGTGATTTTAATATTATTAAAATTGGTCAACCAACACTTTATACAGTAATTATAATAGTTTTGCTTTTTTTTTAATTTCTTTTATAATTAGAATAAAATATTCTTTTTTTTTTCCTCTTTCTTATTAAGGTTCAATGTTTATTACCAATGAATGTATTTAATGAAAAAATTTTTACTATTATTTGGTTTTGGTTAGTTTTTTTAACAATAACAAATTTAAAAAGTGTTTTATTAACAATAATTCGTAATAGTTTTCATCAATTTAATTATGCTTATATAGCTAATTATTTAGATTTATATTCAAAAAAAGAACGTTTTAAAAGACATTTACTTGTTAAACGTTTTATATTTGATTATTTAACAGCTGATGGTATATTAATATTAAGATTAATATCAGAAAATATAAGTGATTTATTAACAAGTGAAGTTATTCATGAACTTTGGAATGAATATAAAAAATTATCTAATTTATCATCAACAAATCGTGAAAAATATCAACGATTAAAAACTATAGCTACAACATCAGCAGATGTTTTAATAACAACTAAAAATATTCATTATCGTCATTGATTCAAATAAATGAATCTTTTAAAATCAAAAGAGCGGAATACTTATCACTATGATGATAGTAATTAAATGTGATGGAAGATTCATTCATGCATATCTTAATCAATACTTTGTTGAAATAACACTAAATACGTTATATATCTATAAGGATAATAATTATCTTCATAGAAGAGT